ATAAAAAGCACATACCATAACACACCAAAAGATGTATTGACAGAAGAAAAATACACAGCACACTAATATACAAAAAAAACACATACAAAGTGTACAAATACACTGACAGAAGAAAAGTACACAATACACACAAAGAGACACAAAATAAAATCACATATTAATACATAAAAAATACATTGTTTCACATAAAAAAATACATACCATAACACACCAAAAGATGCATTAATAAAAGAAAAATACACAGTGCACTAATACACAAAAACACACACACAAAGTGTACAAATACATTGATAAAAGAAAAATACAGAGATACAAATAATAAAAATACATTGTTTCACATAAAAAGCGCATACCATAACACACCAAAAGATATACACATACACTACAACAGTACACCACATAGTAAAACCCACAAAGTGTAGATATGAAAACATACACACAAAATCATTGATAAAAGAAAAATACATACCACACACTGATACATATTTTTAAACACAGACATACTATACACATGAAAATACAAACAATTATTGATAAAACATAAAACATATACGCACAAAACTCACTACCTAGGTAACCATGTATGTACAAGTAATTATTAACTCTACCAATTGCAGACCACAAACATATCAAAGAACATCTTAACGAAGAAGAACCATCTAAAAAAGGGAAGAGTGCAGGATATTCACCTATAACTTACATATGTTGATATAAATTGATCATCAAATGAATACAAAAGAACATATAAATCAAATTTTACTTAGGGAGAACTCAAAATTCAAATCTATAGTTTCTGATATAGATTTGACTAGGAAAAATGAGAACAAAATTATGGTTTTCTCCCTAGCATGCGCTCCTATTAATATTAACTTCCCTACAAGGACATAAATAACATCCAATGATAAACACAAAAAATATACACAAAGCAAACAAAAAAAGCCTATAAAGATGCATTCATAAAAAAAAATAAAGCACACTAATACATAGAAAAATACACACAAAGTGTACAAATATATTGATAAAAGAAAAGTACACAGTATACAGAGATACACATAATAAAAACACATATTAATACACAAAAAATAAATTGTTTCATAAAAAAAATTGATACCATAACACACCAAAAGATGCATTGATAGAATAAAAATACACAGCACACTAATATACAGAAAAACACATATAAAGTGTACAAATACATTGACAGAAGAAAAGTACACGGTACACACAAAGATACACATAATAAAAGCATATATTAATACACAAAAAACACATTGTTTCACATAAAAATCACATCAGAGCACACCAAAAGATGCATTGATAGAAGAAAAATACACAACACACTAATAATACACAAGAAAACACACAAAGTGTACAAATATATTGATAAAAGAAAAGTACACAGTATACACAGAGATACACATAAGAAAAACACACTGTTTTACATAAAAAGCACACACCATAACACACCAAAAGATATACACATACACTATACAATGATATACCACATAGTAAAACCCACGGAGTGTAGATATGAAAGCATACACAAAAAAAATCATTGATAAAAGAAAAATACACACCACACACTGATATACATTTTTAAACACAAACAAACTATACACATGAAAATTCAAACACAATCATTGATAAAACATAAAACATATACAAACAAAACTCACTGCCTAGGTAACCATATGTGTACAAGTAAACATTAACTCTACCAATTGCAAACCACAAACATGTCAAAGAACATCTCAACGAAGAAGAAGAATCATCAAAAAAGGGAAAGAGAGCAAAATATTTACCTATAGCTTGCATATGTTGATATAAATTGAATACAAAAGAACATATAAATCAAATTTTACTTGCGGAAGAACTTAAAATTCAAATCTATAGTTTCTGATATAGATTTGGCTGGAAAAAATGAGAGCAAAATTATGATTTTCTCCCTAGTATGCATTCCTATTAATATTAACTCCACTATAAAGACATGAATAACATCCAATTATAAATACAAAGCACACAAAAATAAGCCTAGAAAGATGCATTGATTGAAGAAAATACACAAAACACTAATACATAGAAAAACATACACAAAGTGTACACAAAAAAATTTTAAAAAAAAATACATTAATTAAAGAAAAGTACACAGTACACAAAGATACACATAATAAAAACACACATTAATCAAACATATTGTTTCACATAAGAAGCACATACTATAACACACTAAAAGAAAAATACACAAACACTATACAACAACACACCACACAGTAAAACCAACATATTGTACACATGAAAACATACACACAAAAAATATTCATAAAAGAAAAAAACATAACACTCTGATACACATTGTAAAAGATAGACAAACTATATACATAAAAATACAAACACAAAAATCGATAAAACAAATAACACACAACTCACCACTAGATTAACCATTTATGTGTAAGTAATCACTAACTTCACCAATAGCAGACCACGAACATGACTAAAAACATCCCAACAAAGAAGAATAATCATTGAATAAACACAATAGAGCATGATATTCACCTAGAGAAATTTACTTAATTGGATATTACTTACCAAATTTCAGTTGCAATATCTAGAAATATAGCCAATTTTTTTTTCATTTACAACAAAACTATTGACCTCTCACCGCAATTGTTTAGTTCAATAGGAAAATGATGTTCTTATACGCATTCCAATTTTAGTACTGTTACTTACCATTTCATATAATTAGATACTTATACTTTAACCAATAAAATTTAGCCCAAAAAAACTAATCATATAAAAAATATGGTTATAGTTTGTTTAAGATTTATCAATGATTATCCAATAAATAGGCTAAGGGTTATCTTATGTGATAGTGCGGAATAACTGAACCAGTTAATCAATCAATGCCCATTCCCAGATGTGAGATGTTCAACTCAACTTTGAATGTTATGTCTCATGTTTCTTTAAATTGGGGACTATATTTGTTGTGTTTCGTACTTATTGTTTATATGTTTTAAACAACTACTCCAATATTGACATAATTGTAAGTTGTGTTATGAGACTTCCATTTGGATAGTTTTACTATATGTTGTATGTGCTTACTTCCATGTCGTTGAATCTAGGATGTCTGTCCATTTTCATTGCTATTGTCATTTTTTATTTTTTTTTGCCAAAAATACCATAAAATATTAATTGCATGCTCAAACGAATTTGATTGCTACTTAGCTTGGTGTAAAAGCCATTTTGAGATGATTATAGATCTATGTGAAGAAGCAAAAAATTAGTGCCTATATGAATACCTCCACCACTTACCAATAAGGATGTTAGTTTTATGTTAAACTTATTGGTAAGTGGTGGAGGGAACCATCAAGCTGGATGTTAGGATATTCACTTGGAGGAATTTAATTAATTGGATATTGTATGGGCTTTCCACTACTTTTGGGAACACATTGAGGAGGTTCAATGAAAATCTGGTTGGACAAGTAATAAGTTCAATATATTACTCTAAAAGTTTACAAAGTCATAGTTGCTCCTGAAAAAGATTGAACATATAAGACAAAGAAGACAAAAAATTGAGAGATTAGACGAATAAGAGGGAGAATGTGGATATTATTGTGCAAGTATTTTCTTTGTTGTCTTTTTTTTACATGGATTACATAAGTTATCATTGTGGGATTGGACACCAAGTTGCTTTAAGTTTTGAAAATTTTCATTTGATCTAATAAGATCATATTACAAAATTACTATTGATTTTAATTTCTTAATGTACCTAAATCTTGACAAAAGAAATGTGATTAAATTAAGTTTGATTTTTTGATAAGGAATGAACCGCAACAATTTCATCATAATAGATATAGAAATTTGATAGATTTTTAGAAAAAACTAGAATATAATTTCTGTTATATGAATCAAGCTATTCAAATGGAAACATTTGAAAAATATATTACAATAGTGATAATTGTTAAATTCCACTTAAAACTAGATTAAAAATGCGTACTAAAATTTAAGGCAAAGGGATGACACTAAAATGGCTTGGACTTATCTGTATTATAGTCATCACTTCAATTTTTCAACACATTCAATTTGTTAATTCCGGTCAAACAGGTTGGATTTCTATATTTGAGGAATTCTGGGGACCCCACCAAGGATAAAAAATGAGTTTTGGTGTACCGTTTCGGTCACCTCAAAAACACAGGATGAAAACACAAAAAAAATTTAGAAACATGTAGAAACATAATTTAAAATCTCTATATTACAAATACATAAGCTTAACAAGTGATTAATTGAGCATATTTTTTGTCTTTAACACTCACTTATACTAAATAACATTAAGTTGGGTGAGAAAAAAAAGATTAATAAGAGGTAGAAGTCATTTCAATGTCAAACACTTGATATTCATCAGATAAACATACTAATAAGAAATTAAGCTCTTATAATACAAATGAAGTGTTTATGAGTATCATGAAAGTACTAACAGGATAAAGTTACATTCATTCTGCTATAGCATGTCGAGCAGACTCAAAAATTGGTGCAGACACTGGGTAGTAACTAAGAGAAACTCCACGTGATATAAATATGTCAACAATAGCTAGTCCAAACTTATATAGTGATGATAATATACATCATACTCTGCCCTAACTCCAATGATTAAAAATGCATATCAAATCAACTGAGGCGAACGAAATATTTGGCTTTTTTAAGAACACAAAACGAAACAAAACAATTGAGGAAAAGGGGAATTCTCATGCTTCGGTCGAAGTGACCTTTGGTTTGAGTTGTTTCAAGAAACATCGGAACAGACATGTGATTTGAAACAAAGCTCATTTTTCTGCAAAAAAGGAAAATTTCTTGAACCCACTTGTTGCTCTTTTGAAAAGCAAAAAAATCATTGAAGAAAGAGAGAGGCAGATTGAGATTCCTTCGTCTTACTCACATTTTACGCAGTAGAGAAGAAAAAGAGAGAGAGGAAGAGATGGAGAAGAAAAAGAGTGAAGAAGAGGAAGATGGATGTTTATTTGATTTGTGCAAGTAAGCATCTTCAAAAAGGGAGATTCCTTGAGCCCACTTTTGCTCTTCGACAGGAAGAAGCATAAGATCATTGAAGAAAGGGAGAGGCAGAGTGAGATTCCTTCGTCCTACTCACATTTTATGCAGCAAAGAAGAAAGAGATTGGGGAAAAGATGGAGAAGAGAAAGAGTGAAGAAGAGGAAGATGGGTGCTTATTTGATTTGTGCAAGTAAGCATCTTAAAAAAGGGAGATTCCTTGAGTCCACTTGTTGCTCTTCGACCGGGAGAAACACAAGATCATTGAAGCAAGGAAGAGGCAGAGTGAGATTATTTCGTCCTACTCACATTTTATGCAGTAGAGAAGAAAGAGAGTGGGGAAAAGATGGAGAAGAGAAAGAGTGAATAAGAGGAAGACGGATGCTTTTTTGATTTGTGCAAGTAAGCATCTTCAAAAAGGGAGATTCCTTGAGCCCACTTGTTGCTCTTCGACAGGGAGAAGCACAAGATCATTGAAGAAAGGGAGAGGCAGGGTGAGATTCCTTCGTCCTACTCACATTTTATGCAGCAGAGAAGAAAGAGAGTGGAAAAAAGATGGAGAAAAGAAAGAGTAAAGAAGAGGAAGACGGATGCTTATTTGATTTGTGCAAGTAAGCATCTTCAAAAAGGAAGATTCCTTGAGCCCACTTGTTACTCATCGACCGGGAGAAACACAAGATCATTGACAAAAGGGAAAGGCAGAGTGAGATTCCTTCGTTCTACTCACATTTTATGCAGCAGAGAAGAAAGAGAATGGGGAAAAGATGGAGAAGAGAAAGAGTGAAGAAGAGGAAACGGGTGCTTATTTGATTTGTGAAAGTAAGCATCTTCAAAGTGGGGGATTCCTTGAGCCCACTTGTTGCTCTTCGACAGGGAGAAGCAAAAGATCATTGAAGAAAGGGAGAGACAATGTGAGATTCCTTCGTCCTACTCACATTTTATGCAGCAGAGAAGAAAGAGAGTAGGGAAAAGATGGAGAAGAGGAAGACGGATGCTTATTTGATTTATGCAAGTAAGCATCTTAAAAAAGGGAGGTTCCTTGAACCCACTTGTTGCTTTTCAGCATGGAAAAACACAAAATCATTGAAGAAAGAGAGAGGCAGAGTCAAGTTCCTTCGTCCTACTCACATCTTATGAAGCAAAGAAGAAAGAGACAGAGGAAGAGATGAGAAAAAAAACAAAGTGAAGAAGAGGAGGACTGAGGCTTACTTGATTTGTGCAAGCCAGCTATGCACAGCTAGAGTCAACCAGATTTGAGTTTGAGCTCGGCCAGAGTATGATGCATATTATTGTCACTAGATAAGTTGGGCTAGCTATTGTCGACATATTTATATCACATGTGGAGTTTCTCTTAGTTACTACACAGAGCCTGCATCAATTTTTGAGTTTGCTCGACACGCTATAACAAACTGAATGTAACTTTGTAATGTAAGTACTTTCATATGATGCTCATAAACACTTCATTTGTATTATAAGAGTTTAATATCCTATTAGTGTGTTTATTTGATTTGATGAATATCAAGTGTTTGACATTGAAATAACTTCTGCCTCTTATTAATCTTCTTTTCTCCCCCAACTTAATGCTATTTACTATAAGTAAATGTTAAAGACAAAAAATATGCTCAATTAATCACTTGTTAAGCTTATGTATTTGCAATATAGAGATTTTAAATTATGTTCTCATATGTTTCCACATGTTTCTAAATTTTATTTTTTTTGATTGTGTTTTCGTCCCCTTTTTGAGGTGACCGTAACGGTACACTGAAACTCATTTTTTATCCTTGGTGGGGTCCCCCGAATTCCTCAAATATAGAAATCCAACCTGTTTGACCAGAATCAACAAATTGAATGTGTTGAAAAATTGAAGTGATGACTCTAATACAAATAAGTCCAAGCCATTTTAATGTCCTCCCTTTGCCTTAAATTTTAGTATGCATTTTTTAATCTAGTTTGAAGTGGAATTTAACAATTCTCGCTGTTGTAATATATTTTTCAAATGTTTCCATTTGAATAGTTTGAGTCATATAACAGAAATTACATTCCAGTGTTTTCTAAAAATCCATCAGATTTTCATGTCTATTATGATGAAATTGTTGCGGTTCATTTCTTATCAAAAAATCAAACTTAATTTAATCACATTTCTTTTATCGAGATTTAGGTACATTAAGAAATTAAAATCAATAGTAATTTTGTAATATGATCTTATTAGATCAAATGAAATTTTTCAAAACTTAAAGCAACTTGGTATCCAATCCCACAATGATAACTTATGTAATCAATGTAAAAAAAAGACAACAAAGAAAATACTTGCACAATAATATCCACATTCTCCCTCTTATTCGTCTAATCACTCAATTTTTGGTCTTTTTTGTCTTATATGTTCAATCTTTTTCAGTTGTAAATTTTTAGAGTAATATATTGAACTTATTACTTGTCCAACCAGATCTTCATTGAACCTACTCAACGTGTTCCCAAAATTAGTGAAAGTCCATACAATATCCAATTAATTAAATTCCTCCAGGTGAATATCCTGACATTCAGTTTGATGATTCCCTCCACCACTTACAAATAAGTTTAACATAAAACCAACATCTCTATTGGTAAGTGGTGGAGGTATTCATATAACCACTATTTTTTGCTTCTTCGCATAGACCTATAATCATCTCAAAAATGGCTTTTACACCTAGTTAAATAGCAATCAAATTCGTTTGACCATGTAATTAATATTTTATGGTAATTTTAGCATAAAAAAATAAAAATGACAATAGCAATGAAAATGGACAGACATCCTAGATTCAACGGCATGGAAATAAGCACATACAACATATAGTAAAACCATACAAATAGAAGTCTCATAAGGCAACTTACAATTATATCAATATTGGAGTAGTTGTTTAAAACATATAAACAATAAGTACAAAACACAACAAATATAGTCTCCTATTTAAAGAAAAATGATACAAATATAGTCTCCTATTTAAAGAAAAATGATACATATCATTCAAAGTTAAGTTGGGCAGCTCACTAATTAACGATCCAAGTGTAGGTTTGGTTAGCTTATCTGGGCATGGGCATTGATTGATTAATTGGTTCGAAATCGAACTATCAAATAAGATAACTCTTAGCCTATTTATTGGACATAAATCTTAAACAAACTATAACCATATTTTTATTTTATTAATTTTTTTAGATTATTAGTTAAAACAAGTATCCAATTATATCAAATTGTAAGGAAGAGTACTAAAACTGAAGTATATATAAGAACAACTACGCAATTACAGTGAGAGTTTAAAAGCTTTTGTAAATAAAAAAGAAAATTTCAAGCCATATTTCCAGATATTGCAACTGAAATTTGATTAAGTAATTAAAAATTGTAATTTAAATCTGAAAGGGGTGTCATTGAAAATTCAGAAAATAAAGGGAAGTCCTTAAAGATATGGTAAACTAGAAGAGTATGGCTGAAATTTTCCCAAAATTCAATTTTTATTACATGATTGAGCAAGAAATACTAATGTACAATAAAAAATTCATTATTAAATCAACGGGATGGAGAGAGATAAGAAAGAGTAAACCTGGATTCTTTAAGGTGCCAAACCAATCCCGAAGTTGTGGTAGTTCAATCAAATCTTCGTCTGTGTTGCTGGCCTGTGATTTTATGGAAGTTAAAGGGGGCGGCAAGAGAGAGACGGCGAGGCTGAGGAACAGAGAGCGAGAGATTGCGACAGAGAGAGAGAGAGGGGAGACGAAGAGAGATGAAGAGAGAGCGAGTGAGAAAGAGAGCGCCCGAGAGACCAAGAGAGAGCGAGAGACAGAGTGGTGGGTTTTGAAAGGGGGAATTTTTATAATAAATATTGGGTTGAAGGTTTCGCAGGACTGCCGGCGGCAAAACAGAGAGCGAGAGACTGCGAGAGAGAAGACGAAGAGAGATGAAGGGAGAGCGCGAGACAGAGTCGGTGGGTTTTGAAAGAGGGAATTTTTATAATAAATATTAGGGTTTCTTAACGGCTATTTGTTTTTTTTTTTTTTTTTTTTTTTTGATCAAGACGGCTATTTGTTTAATTGCTCTCCTTTCCTAATTTGAAAAATATTGCAAGACTTTAACCGACTGCCATAAGTTTAACGGTCCCTCCCATTAATCCCATTAATCTTTGTTGTTAATTTCCTGCGATTCTATTTTTCTTTTTAGTATAAAATTACAGATACCCTCGTGAACTTAGTTTTTGTTTTAAAAAAAATTACACAATCCTCCCTCATCACAATTCAAGATTTTCAAGAGTCTACAAGAGAAAATTTCATCCACATCCTCTGTAATTAGGTCTAAATTTAATGACACCTCTTCGCGATTTTAAAATTTCACTGTCACCGTTTGTCAGTGTTTATTGGGATTATGACGTTAACGGCGATTGTTAATTTACAAAAATACTTTTAAATATTTTATAGGATAAATTTTATCCACACTCCTTAAAAAACAAAACTTTAATGACATCCCATGTGAATATACCTATCTTTAACAATACCCCCTCCCAATTCTAAAATTTCAATGCATTCTTTTTTAGTTCTATTATATTAACCTTTAGGAATTAATGTATGTTATTTAATTTAACACCAAATGAACATTAAGTTTTATCAAATCAACACTTAATTAATATTAATTTTATGAAATCAATGCCAAATTAGTATTTAAATTTATCAAATTAAGATCAATTTTATTCAATTAATATTAAATTTATCAAATAATATTCAAATTTTATATATAAAGGGTGATGTATGAAGAGTGGTTAGGTGACGTTATAGAGGACAAATGATAGAAGAGGAATTAGAAATGGATGGAATTTTGACATTGATTTTATAGGTTGTAATTTTTATTATAAAAAATTATTGTTTAACTATAAAAATTATAAAAAATTGATTATGTAAACAAAATAAGTGATAATATTATAACAAAATTATCATGCAACACTTTAAAATGATAAAAATTCATTTGGGATAATATAATGATAAAAATGACGGTTACTAAGGGCATATATAATGGGAAGGATTGATTTGGGCATTTAAGTTTATTTACATAATAAAACGTAATTTTGGCATTTTTACAAAGTATTTAGTCAAATTATTACTTTATCTACTAATGGAAGCAAAATTTACTCCTAAGGGGGTGTCATTCATTTAAAATATAACCAGAAAAGTATGCAGTGAAATTTTAAAATCAGGAGAAAATATCATTGAATTTAGACCTAACTACCGGATTGCAGATGACAACTTTCCTATATGTAATGGGGAAAGGGTTGATTGAGGACATTTTAGTCTATTTGAAAATTTTCCTAAATATAAATGTGATCAAGACTTTCATTATTTTTTCACTACAATTCAATCACTCTTTCTATGTATGCCTAAAATTTATCTCAATAACTTTGAAGCCCATTTTTTTTATCTAACTTTTTTTATTATAGCTTGTTAATTGGAAGAAGTAAGAGTTGGAGCATTAGATATAAGTTGTCCCTTTACTTTTTCATATCCAACTTTATGAATTTCTTTTTTTGTAATTTTTACGTAAAATAGTATTTAACAAAAAAAATCGTTTTAGGCTCAAATAACAACCTATAAAACTCGGTCTATGTTTAGCTCGCTTTTGGCCCAATAGACCAGTGAGCCTTAGATTTTTTCACATACGGGTTTGGCCCAACTCATTGACTAGTCAAAGCCCACCAAGGTCTGTCCATGGCATGGGCTATAAGCTGAAAAATCATGGATCAGCCCAACTCGTTTGCCAAGAAATAATTACGCTGGTAGATTTATGGTCAGTACTCAGATTTAGGGGTGTCAATCTCACTCATCGATACAAATTCGTTAAGACACGATTGATAAATACGTATAATCAATAAGTTGAATTAAAACTTAACACTTATCAAATAGATTTTTTTTTCGTGAGTACTGACACGGGCACGACATGAATCACACATCTCAAAAATAGTATGTCAATGACACGACACAACACAAATTGACACCCCTACTTGGATTTAAATTTAGATTTATTTTGAGATATGATGATTCTTCAAATTTTTTTTATAGTGCTCATTTTAGAATTTCTTTCATAGAGATCTTTTTTAATATGTGATTTCTTCAATTTCCTTCATATTATATCATTTGATCATATATCTTATGGATTTAAAAGCACCACAAGTAATTGAGTCTCCTCAATTATTTAGATTTGTTTCTTTTCTTCATATTCCTATTTTTTCCATGTGTGATCTCTTGATGAATATGACCTATAATGTTTGTACAATTGGGGAGACATGGAGACCAAGGATTTAAACTTTTGCTTGTCACCACTTTCTGAGAATAGAGCAAAACAAGTTGGAAGTTCCGATGGGACAATGGTATGAATGATACTCTCCAAACACTCCCATCTCAAAACAATAGTTAAAATTCATATGCATGAGGCCCAAGTTTATTTTTTTTGGTCGTTTATTATCATTACATAAGACATACCCAATGTATAGAACTCTCGCTTATAGCAGAATCAAAAGAGGTAAAGTGTCAAATAATCTTATTTTCTCGATTTTTGAGAGTAATTTTTGAATTTTCAACCTACCTCACATCTTTTGGGCAAATAAGCACATCTCAAAACAAGTTATTTTATTTTGTCATCACAATCTCAAATAATAAAGAGCATAATGCATCCAACACTCGACTGAGGAACCACTAGAAAGGAAAGAGACATGGAGATGGGAGATGGGAGTATCTTTTGGTAGGTTCCCTTTTCTCTTATCTCTATGCAAGCTTTCAGACAAGAACAAAACATCAAACTTCCAAAACCGTTATTCTTGTCTACATATTTTCACATTTTTTTGTTTCTTCTGTTCTCCACAAACGAGATTTGAGAGAATGTTTCAACGGTTAAAAAATAAAAAAATCCCTCCAAAACATACCCACCAAAAAAGGCACCATCTTCTCCAAAGCCCAACAATTCTTTGGGAAACCGAAAGTGAATCACCCATCCATTTATTCCCACCAAAGAAGCCTTTCCAAACACTAACTTCCACCTCCCCTTTGGACTTTCTTTCCCACACTTTTTGAACTTCGTTTGCCTCTCTTCATATCTCCGCCAAACCATACACCAAAAATTAGAGCCCCGTAACTTACTTTCTTAGACATTGCAGATCAGCTGTCGATTTTCATCTCTCCTTTACTTCATTTAAAACACATCAGAGGGCTCAACACATACAAGCATTGCGTCCTGATGACATCTGCAGGTTACATTTCTTCCTGTGATGAAAAGGCAGAGCAACAACCCCATTATCACGCATCCCTCCATTGCTCTTCTGCAGGAGCGGTTCAAGCAATTGTAGAGAAGCTAAGAAAATGCGAGAGGATAGAGAGTACCAGAGAATGCTCTCTGAATCCAATTAAGTCAATCCAACCAATTGCTACGATCCCTCCAGGTTGTTCTTTCACTATGAGTTAATCCTTCCACCAAGGTCCCCTCTTCAAGACCCTCCCTCCTTGCAACATAACTTATAGAGCAACCATACTGATCTTTAGGTCACTGGGACACCCATTTCAGAAAACTTATGGTTTAGTCATACAGTCATGCACAGATCAAATAACTTTGATAACTCATATGTTGACACTTCCCTTCATTTGTGAAAAATTTTACATGTCGATTTTTTTTATTTCCATTTAACTCTTTCTGGTGATGTAAGAACGAGAAGAACATGTGTAATTTAACTATTGTTTATTAAGAGAGTCATCAATGTTGTCATGTTTGGAAATTACAGAATTATCAGACACACCGTCATCCTCTTCCCGCTCGTGGTATGGGACCTCATCGTGGTTAGTCTCGTCATCGCTTGTCCATTTTCTTTTCATGATCTTGGGAACCAAGCGTATCACATCTTTGGACTCCATTGCATCATCTTGGTGTACCCTTTTAGATCAAACAACACTCACCTTTCGGACATTTCCAGCTAATATCTGCAACACAAATAATAATATAACACATCCATCAGGTGGCTGCTAATGAAGAAAATGTTTTCCTGTCTTTAAGGTGTGGCAAAATATTGGGTTATGTAGATCACACAAAATATTTCACGACTCTGACCAATCTTCAAATGCAAAGCTCCTCAGAATACGTAGCATTACATTAATTTTTAAGTACACACCATACTCTCCTCAATGAAAGCATGATCTTTAAATGCACCTTTTGTCCCCATGACTGTTCAAATAAATACATATTCACTCAATAATAGCAATCACAGAGTGTGTCATGATTGACATGCATCTTACTACTCTAGCCGGCCCTTCTCCTTGCTGCTATTAGCTTTCCCTCCCTTCTTTTAATATACTTTTCATACCTACATAAGTTTGTAAGTTCCAAGACAACTTACAGTTTCTAACTCCACCAACTACTTCCTAATCAATTGCCTTGTTGAGGCTTCTATTATTACAAGAGTGATCTTTTTATATATATAATTACAACGACAACTTTATAGTGCCCGAGAGAATAATATATAGACAAAATATCAAAGCTTCCACACTAAGTTCAGCTCTTGACATATTCCTAGCACTTTAAAGCCCCTACGTAGGGAGAATCAAAAAGAAAATTGTGAAACTTGCTACTAGGACCAATATGCAACTAGAGTAAATTTTCTGGCTGCAGGGCCGGGGATGAATTCACACCATCAAAGGTCTCATTCCTAGCAATTGCATTTAAATAATGTTGACTCCCGATAGATGGGATACGATTAATGTTTACACATTGAGAGTGCCAAGATGATCCATGGCTATTCATCCAAAGCACACTTGAATTCCAATTCCTAGTCAGTTATGCAACACAGGCCTGACAGACCATGGATTTAAACTTAAAAAGCAAATATGTCAATCAACTCATAACCACTACTTGAGGAAACAAAAATAAATAAATCTAGCAAGGTAATGAAAGCCATACCTCAAGCACCACATTTATACAGGGTCAGATTCTGCCTCATCATTGTGTTCTCCCTAATTCTCCTTTTCAAGTGCCACTTTATGGTCTCACCCGTCTTTGGGATATATCCAAATGCCTCACAGATGAAGCCCGACACTGTCTCATACTGATGACTTTGAAGAAGGGAAAAAGGAAAATGTGAAGAAATATAAACCATTGATGTCCACCTAGCTGGAACTTGCTAAAAAACCAGTGAGAGAGAGAAGAGTGAGGGGGATACCCCAGGTTAACACCTTTTTTGGTAAAAAAAAATGCAATCCAAAAAAGGATAATAGATTACATTGGGGGAAAAAAAAAAGGATAACAGAGGAAAAAAATAGAACAAAAGAAACAAGTACGAATTTTACTTGTTTCTTCACTTAGATGGAGGTAAAGGAATAATGGAATTCTCTGGGAGCAGGTCATGGAGACTGAATATATCATTCCAATGTGTAAGGAGATGGAGGAATTAGCGCATTGACTTTGCATCAATGCAAAGTGGCATAAGATCTTTAGGGCTTTCTGTAATTGCCTACATATCCACTAGAACTGTGCGCAAGGTTTTTCTTTTTATGTTTTTAGTTCAAATCACATACTATTAGTTATTTCTTTGTTTAGAGAGAGAGAAAGATGTTCAAGAAAATTTTGGGTTTCCAAACATAAAAACTCAGATTGGTTCACCAATTTTCATAAACTAACATAAAAAATGAGCATGAGCATGAAGTAATGCAGTGCACCAATCTTCAATCCTCCAGATCAACAACCAACTCATTAAAACAAAGGGAAAAATGAATTACCTCCAGTATTTTGATATTGAGAATCTGAGATCTTCAGAAAGCTGATCAATTGATGTATTAGCATCCACATCATAAATTCCCTCTGCCCGCATTACAATATATCCAGTTTTTTTTGGGATTTCCTCCTGCATACAGTGAAACAACATAAAAATAAATAAAAAAAGGATCCAAACAAGAATCAACGTACGAGCATTCATACAGCCACCCCTGGTTTAATAGCAGGGACAGCATAAACCTGCCTATCACTGTCAAGTCTAGCATTTGCACCTTTGACATCTGGGTAATTTAAAAGATTCTATTCTCTTGCTTTCTATCCATACCAGACCCACAATAACGACTGTAAAAAAAACAAGTAAAATCCACTGTCAATAGCATTGTTGTGTAATGGCAAATCTGGAAAGACGACAAAATAAAATTGCTTGGAAATCAAGAGTGGAACCGTGCATGACTGAAAACTAAGCAAGAATTAAAACTTAAGACCACCTTTCTACTTATCCAATCATCAACATTGTGGTAAGTCTTTACTCCTTATCATCTGCCTAACCAAAGTGCACGTTCCCTCCTCCTTTGGCTAGTCTAACAGTAGTTTCAGTTTCATGCTTTTTAAGTTATCTGAGTTCTCTAAACCTCAGTTTCCTCAAAAACTATTGATTGGGAGAAGGGAAGTAAGCAATAAAGATGTAGCATTCAAATTAAAAAACCTTTTCAAGAATATTTAAATAAATTTCCGCCACAAACAGATATAAATACTATCAAGTAACCCACTGGGAGGGGACCATGGATTACTCTCTTCCAATCCTTAATATCAATGGACATATATCTAGAAGTCATTGGGTGCCCAAACAAGTTTGGTTATGGAAGTGAAGATTAATTCTTCAAATCTTGGGGAAGAGATAATTTGTATCATTCTAATTGTCATGTAGGTAGGCCACTTTTAATTGCATGTTGATAAATATGAGACACACCTCCATCACCCTAGTTCCAGAGAAAATTAATGAAGTAAGCAGGATCAGCAAAAACAAGCGTACTTACATGGCACATATCACGACTTGTATTGGCACCAGTGAAAGTCGGTGCGGAAACCATAAATCTTGATGTGCTTGGCGTCAGAAGGCTTCCCAACTTTAGCAGCTGAAAACCTAAACTCTGCTCCCCACCGATCCATAAAGAGGCGTGCTGTCCATGATACCATGCATGAGAAATAAATAACTAGAAAAGAAAACCCATAGTTTAGAACACATATTCCTTAAAAACAACCATAAAGTATAAGATTCAAGCTGTTACAGACCTCATCTTGCATCCCAATTGGTTAGGTAAAGAAATTCCCATCACAACCTCATTTGCTAACAAGCCTCCACAATGGTCTTATCCTCATCCATGTATTCTAACCCCACTTTTTAACCTTTTTTCGCTCTATTTCCCCTCCTTTGGTGCCTCAATAAATTTAACTTCTCCCTAGCAACCATCAAACCTTTGTGCAAATCTTGGGTGCTTTGACCTCGAGATATCAATCCCCTGTCTTGTAAATCCATCAAAAGCATTTCACCCTTCACAATATTGTTCTTGGTCAAGAGAGCATCAGTCAGAACAGTAAACGTGGTGGTATTTGGGAAGAGGTCCCTTTGTTTTATCTCCTCAGATAGATCAAATGCTTGTACAATATCACCACTAGCACAAAGGCCAGTAATGAGAACATTTGTAAGCAACAATGTCAAGATTTACACCATGAAACTCCATTATATTTTTTAGTTTTACAGCCTCCATCAGGNGGAAGATTCGCATATGTATACCTATCAGGGAGCACGTTATTGGTGATCATCTCATCCAAAAGGATTATTGCCACTTGCAAATTCCCTGATTTACAGGCCTCAGCCAGCAATGTGTTGTAGACAACAACATCCACACAGCAAGGGATGTAATGGAGTTTANCAAGATTTACACCATGAAACTCCATTATATTTTTTAGTTTTACAGCCTCCATCAGGTTAAATTCTTTGCAGAACTTATGCATCAGAGTTGTGAAAGTGGCAATAGTTGGAACAAGCTGCACCCTAAGCATGCAATCAAGAATCAGCATTACTTCTTCCATTTTCCCACGCCGCACAAGCCCTCTAATAATAGCACTGTCAGCCACATTTCGGGAGCCAATTTCAAGAGCCTCCATTTCATCTTTTAGTTTGAATGCTCCTTGTGTATCTCCCACTCTGCACATACCAGTAATTAAAGTAACATATTGTCTATTAGTAGGTATAAAACCCTTCTCCAACATTTCATGCAGAAAAGTGAGAGATACTTGAAAGTCATATGTCCTGTTGATGCCTTTTAAGTATGGAACCGTAAGTGTCTCCATCGGGCAAAATTCCAAGAGAATTCATAGTATTTAAGAGATCAAAGGCCTTTCCCATCTCACCATTGCTGCTGCATTTGGTGATTAGCATGTCAAAAGTACGCTTATCAACCGCTGTACCTTCCATAACCATGTTTCTCAAAATTTTCACGGCAATGTCCAGCACACTTGACTCGCAAAGCCCATGAATTAGAGAATGGCATGTCAATTCATTCGGAACAAAACCTTTCCTAATAAAGGTATTGTATGTTGCAAAGCATCTTGGTATATCCTGTTGTTTTGAATAGCCACGTAGGAGAATATTATATGTAGCCAAACAAGGGCATAAACTTCCACCTTTCATCGTAGAAAAGTAATTGTTCACCTTTTCTATGCACCCTATTCTGGAATAGCCATCTATAATTACATTTAGTACAACTGTATCAGGGTTGATACCTTTCTTTAGCATCTCTTCATAAAAATAAGCAGCAGTCTTTGGCTGGCCTGCTTTGAAAAGCCCATCGATCAAGCACGTATACATAACATGGTTTGGAGAGAAAGATCTTTCCATTGCTTTTTCAAACAGTAGCATTGCAGCAACCATCTTGCCCTTTCTACATAATCCAGCAAGAAGATTCGCATATGTGTACCTATCAGGGAGCACGTTATTGGAGATCATCTCATCCAAAAGGATTATTGCCACTTGCAAATTCCCTGATTTACAGGCCTCAGCCAGCAATGTGTTGTAGACAACAACATCCACACAGCAAGGGATGTAATGGAGTTTACTCAAGAATTTTACAGCCGCTTCGAAATGTCCTCCTTGGCATAGTCCTTTCAGTAAACTGCCATATGTATAATGACAAGGGTGGTGACGCATCTTAATCATTTCATCAAACAAGGAAAAGGCTTTCAACCCATTGCCTACTTCTCCATAGCCATTTATAACAGTGTCTAAAGTAATGCAATTAGGAACTGGGCCAATCCTATTCATGTGATGCATGAATTTCTCAGCCTCCCTTACCTTTCCAGTTCTACAAAGAGAAGCTACTATTGTGTTGCATGTGAAAATATCCGCACCATAACAATTCAAATTCATCACCGCATACAATTTCAATACTTCGTTAACATTTCCCTGCTTGCAAGAGTTATATATTAACGTAGACCACATGATATTGTTTGGTTCAAGTCCAAACCTACACATCTTGCATATTATCTCTTTCACATCGTCTATCTTTCCTGCTCTACAAAGTCCATTTATAAGAACCGAATATGTGATAACATCCGGACTCATCCATCCGTGAACATTTTATCAAGCAGTGCACACCTTCTTCGAGCATTCCCTTTTTGAATAGCCCATCAATCAGTGTTGTATTGGTAATACGACCAATAATGATAACATACATTCTAATCCTCTGAAAAAGAATTCTTGCTGAATCTAGTTTGTCATGCCTGCAAAAGCCATTCAAAAGAGTCCCATAACTAACTTCATTTGGCCTTAATCCCCTTTCTTCCATTTTCTCCAGAATTTTGAAAGCTTCTTCAAATTTGCCTTCCTGATAATGTCCATCTATCAAAGCATTGTAACTGATACAGTTTGGTGAAAGATTAAACTTTGACATCTTATCAAAAATCTTAGTAGCGACCGCAATCTTAATTTCTCTGATAAAACCATTTATGAGAGTATTATAGGTGATTTCATTTGGAAATACCATCATCTTCCTCATCTTCTTCAACAATAAATAACCTTTGGCACTGCTGTTATTTCTACACAAATCATCTATTAACATGTTATATGTACAGACATCTGCCTTAAGACCCTTACAACCCATTCGATCAATCAGTTCAAAAGCCGCTTTGTACCTTCCCTTCTTGCAATACCAATTCAGTAAAGTGTTGTAAGAAACTACTGTCGGAACATAACCACTGTACTCCATCCTCTTAAGGAGATGACCAGCTTTCTTTAGCTTGCCACTCGTACAAAGAAAATGCAACAATATATTAAATGTACAAACATTATGGCGAATATTTTTTGAAAGCATTTCCCTAAAAAGTGACCACAGAAATCTTATGCACCAGATCTTCCCCATTGCGGCTAGGAGCATATTGCAAGTATAAACACACGGCTTAAAACCCCGCAAAACCATCAAATGGAATGTCTCTACAGCATCTTCAACCATCCCATTTCGTGTGTAAACCCTAATTAAAAGGTAAAAAACTGCAGGGTTTGAATTGCAAAGAGCATACGTGTCCATGAGAGAAGTAAAAACAGAATGAGATCCAATACCCATCTGAGATAAATGTTTCAAATTTGACTTGGCCGAGTCATACATTCTAGCTCCAACCAATATATGGGTTGTGATACAGTACATATGAGTAATATAACTGAGGTCCAAACCAGGTTGCTTGATGACCCAATTGAGGAATTTCAAAGCTAGCCTTCCATGAACTGGCCTTAGTGAAGCCAATCTATATTCCATGTGGTTCAGTGATTCCCAACGGTCAATGGTAAGAATTGTATAGATACTTTTCTCCATTTCTACACCTGTTACTACAAGTTCAAAACTTCTTAGAGAGAGGGAGAAAAAAGCATACAAATTTCTTGTGTTTCATTTAAATATATTTATTTCTATATAGAGAGGGAGTGATTGTTTGTGCAGAGATAGAAGCGTACCAGTTGTTTGTGTTTTGATGGAAGCTCTGCTTTTACAATCGTCTCTCAATCTTTCTCTGACATCTTTAGAAACACCCATGTGGGAAAAAGTTCTAAACCTTGATGTATTGAGCGGAGAAAGATAGATTCTTTTGGCTGTTGAAGAGCTTGAACACAAAGACATTACTGATGTAACAGTAACTCTTTCCTTTCTTCGGGTCCGGCACCTCTGCTGTTGGGAGGTAACTGCACTCCGTGCTGCAAAGCTATGCAACACCGTTTTGCCCACAAAACACTAACTGAGCACACATAAGCATCTCCCTAAACCGCTAAACGGCACAGTTTTGTGGTAGTAAGTATATATATCTCCCCTAAAATTAGATGCTCAAACCTTCACTGTTCTTTCAAGTTCTTGTAAACCGCCTTCACAAGGCTTGAGGTTTTACTCACATTTGACCAAACAAATTTGCTCATTCCGATGACTGATTCGTGTATCACCTGGCAAGGGGGCATCCTTGTTGTCCAAAAGGAACAGAATGAAGGTATCATATACGGTATACCACACCTTGTTTATTTAAAATAAAGAGATAAGTACTAGTCGGGCGAGGAGGAGCAGAGAGTTGAGGGGGGGGGGTCTTTTAGTCATGTTAGAAGGCTTAGAGTTTGTTATTGAACAATGCTCTCCTCTTACAGAGGTTCTGTATTTAGCATAAATAATTTCAGAATATAGTGGAGGTTTTTTAAGGTATTGCCAAATATAGGCACCTGTTGAACATTGTGAAATTGAGACATCAATCTCTCTGTAATTGGGAAAAATCGCAAACCTTTGCTTTGGACACCTCATTACCAGCCTCAATTTAGGCATTACTTCTTGAAAACCTTTTCAACAATTCACACAAAACCTTTCTCTGTCACAGCATCTTCCTGACATCAAATTCTTTTGCCAGATTGTCCCCCCATGACTTTGAGTCTCTTCAGGCAATGAGTTATGATATTCTGCTAATGTACAAATAGCTAAGTTGGCATTGCTCAATTCTTCAACTTCCAGAACTCAATCATTCAATCTTCTTCCAGGAGTTGATCCGATTCAAATAGTACCACGGATTCAAAAGCAATCTTTTATGCAAGGTACCTTGCACATTTTCATTTTCATGTCATGAACCATGCCAATATGGTTCTTGCTAGGAAACAGGACCTTGTATTAACAGATGATTACACAATTCAGACAGAAATTGAAGTTCAATTCTGCATGGATTAACATCTCATTTGAAAAGTATGACCTGCAGTATATTGTTCTCCTCTCAACATCACAAAATAGTCCAATATGGATTGAACCTTCTTTCAATTATGTCTCAAGATTTGCCTTTACAAGCTCATTCTCATTTTGTCTCGGGTCAAGGCTCGGACAATGTTTAATCTTCCTGTGGAAGCTGTGTTGTCTTCATCCGAATCAAAGCCACGTTTGGAATGGAAACCTACCGAGGAGGCCACAACAAATAAACCTGCACAAAACTTTGTTACTTGTGTCCACAAAGTCAAAATTGAAGATTTGATTCGCAATGTAACTACAACGTGGTCCAGAAACCTCATTAATCATTCCCTCTGTTTCATGGTAGAAAATCCTTCAGATGATGATCATTATACCTGCAAGATAGATATTAAAACATGGCAATTTTGGGGTAAAAAAGGTTTAAAATCATTCAGGGTCGATGAGAAACGTGTAGATGTCTTCTGGGATTTAAGGTGTGCAAAATTCTCGACCAGCCCCGAGCCTTCCTCAGATTATTACGTTGCTGTGGTCTCCGATGAAGAGGTGGTATTATTGCTTGGAGATCAAAAGAACGAGGCCTTTAAGAGAACCAAGTCAAGACCTTCATTGGTAGATGCCACCTTGGTACATAAGAAAGAGAATGTATTTGCAAAGAAATGTTTTTTCGCACGAACCATGTTAGGCCAGGGGAAAAAAGCACATGACATTGTTATTGAAACCTCTCTATCTGGGGATTGTGAGCCTGAAATGTGGATTGGGATAGACGGAACTGTGTCGATTCGGGTTATGAACTTGCACTGGAGATTCAGGGGAAATGAGACCCTTTTGGTGGATGATGTGCAGGTACAAATTTTATGGGATGTACATGATTGGTTATACAATATTCCCAATTCAGGCCCAGGTGTATTCATTTTCAAGCAAGGTGAAGTGGAATGTGAACCTAACACCTATCTAGATAGTAAAACATTGAAGGGTGAAGGGTGTGAGTCTCACTGGAGACACCCCACAGACAAGGATTTCTGTCATTTTCTCTATGCTTGGAAACTTGAATGAGACATTGTGAGAGATCATGGCATTACCTTATCTTCACCATTATATGGGCTCCAAGTTCTTATGGCATGACCCGAAAGATTCCTACGACAAATCTGAGCCCCAATCAATGTTCATTCAATTTTAGTGGATGTGCTAATTGTATGCAATACTTGGATTTGTTGCTGTGATGGCCATTTAGAAACTTTCTCCTTTTTCATGGTAGGGATTATTATGAAGCTACCTTCTTTTTTCTTTTTTCTTTTTTTCCTTTTTTTTTTTTTTTCTGTTTTTCTGAATTGTGCAAACAATGAAATGATAGCAAAGGCATCCTTATACTTTTTAGAGGGAACTAAGCCTTGGGATTGTTTTATAAGATAAGCTGAAATAGATTGGTAGAGCCATGTGCCCTTTTCAAAGGCAGGATTGAATAGATGCCTACTATTGCACAACGAGTTCAAGTTCATTATCTTTAGAATATAGGTTTTGATGTCACGACAGGAGAAATTTATCTATTATGAATACCTTAATTTCGGCGTAAATGACTTGCATTTAACCAGACTAAAGAGAGATTAGTCGAGGTGTGCCTAAGTTTGACATCCCAAACCGTTAAACAAAAAAAAAAAAAAATATATATATATATATAGGTTTTGATGTAAAAACATTTTTTTTTAAAAAAAATTGGGGTAGAAATACAAAGAAGTCGGACCGCATAAATACAGTTTAACCTTGATTGTTACCCCATAATTTGGTCTTTTCCAGATTCTGGATTTAGCAAATTAGAAGCAGGAGCTTCATCCTCCTGCCATGGATTTTTTGAAATATTTTTTAATTTTTTTTTATAATATCTCCGGTCACAAAGTTATGGAATGACTTATAGTCTATCTCGTCAACAGTCAACTTAAATTTGCAGCATGACACCTCTGGAGAAGGATTTTTTTTGGTAAATTACACTGACACTCCTTGACATTTGATTTTATTATACGAAGATCCCCTCGCATTTTAAAAATAACACCGAACTCTCTTGACATTTAATACTTGTAACAATCATACCTCCTCTAACTAACAGAAGTTAGAATTATTCATAGTCAAAATTGATATCATCAACAATGATTCCTAAAATACCAAAAATACCCTCCACATTTAAGAATTCAAATAAATATTTTTCTTACCCTACCAATTTACCCAATCTCTTATTTATTTTTTTAATATATATATTTCATATATAAATTAAAATTTAAACTTTAACACTTAAATTGTTAATTTCCTAATATATTACATTAATAAGTTAATTTTTAAATTTTTTTTGTTTATTAAATAATATTTGAGATTAGTAGTACAATATAAAAATTTTAATAATTATTTATCCAATTATACCATATTAATTTTATTTTTATTTATTATTTATCTAATTACATAAATTCTTACTCCTACCACTCATCACCACCAGTCCACCATTGAAACCAACCCATCACCATCGGTTCCACCACGTAAACCCACCAAAACTTCCAAACCTAGCCAGACCCACCATCACCAGTAGAGAGAGAGAGAGAGGAGAGATTAAAACCAAAACCCATTGAAACCACCCCCTGCCCTCCATCACCCACTAAAACCACCACCTGGACCAAAACCATCATCAACCAACACCACCACATTGTCGATGTTAAGGTTTCGAAATCCACCTACAACCATCACTTGAAAAATCTATTTGCAAAATCCACTCATTACCACCGGTTCCACCACCTAGGGTATCGATGACACAGAGAGAGAGAGAGATGGAGATCATAAACCCTAGGTAAAGATTCACTCGTGCGCCAATTGGAGATCAAATATTATGAATGGTGATAGTGTTGATGGATCGGTTGTGATTACGTTGCTGGGTGTTGGTTGTTGGGCCTTTGATTCATCATGAAAGAGAGATCGTCGATTGTTGGGGCTTCGATTCATCGTGAGAGAGAGAGAGAGGAAGAGATAGAGTATGCGTGTGTGGGAAAGGGTCAGCTTTCAAAGGAGGAGTCTTGGGTCTTGGGTTTTGGATCTTGGGTCTTGATGAGTAGTTAATGTGAGGGTAAAATAGTTTTTTGTTTGTGTCGTTAATGACGTTTATTTTGTGGGGTTTCAATGTAATTTCGAAAACGTGAGGGAGTGTCTATATAATAAAATCAAATGTCAAAAAATGTCAATGTAATTTACCCATTTTTTTTATTTTAGTTACTATTTAAAATTTTTATGAGAAAAGGGTTAGTGAGCTTTGAACATGTGCCTTAACAATCTAAAAACAAATTGTGATAGTCATTACCGTCGATCGTGATTTAGAAGGATCAAATGAGTGCTCTAAATCAGCAAAAAAAGAAAAAAAAAATAATATTTTCAGGGAAACTTACTCATTTAAGAATGATATACATTTGAATTTGAATTTTTAAATTTTATTTAGATTATATAACAATTTACTTTAGACTTTAGGATGTCTAGATTTGTTCAATTTTGTCCAAATTTAAGAAGAGAAAGACACACACTCCCAAAAAATACCTTTGCCTTAACTCCACGCTCCTCCATGAATCGTGAACACGGGCCACCTCAGCTTTTAATAAATCCCTAGCCATCTTGAATTTTACCGCCCTTAGGGTTTTGTAATTGGTTACTCAAAACTCGTAATTGAGAGGAAGAATGGCCATCGTCGCCGGAAACTTCTTGTCTAAAACTGCAACGGAGCTTCAGTGTCGAGTCCTTTTAATTCCCTGGTGAGTATACCATAAGTAATTTCTTCTAACTTTCCTTTGATTCCTATGTTTATTTCCTGGAAATCTGTATGTCATTCAAAAGAAATCGTGGACTCTTTCTAACTCCATTAAAATTCGAACTTAAATCCAATTTTTCTCGTTCTTTCCCTCATGTTTCTTGGCAATCAGTCCTGTGAGGGATAAAGATTCGATTTTCCATGAATAACTCGAGTAAAAATCATCACTTTATGGAAGAATTATGTACTTGGGTTATACAAGAATCGTTCGTTAATATTTTATCAATTTTGATTGGTAGGGTGAAGAAGAAAAGTGTTATTATGTGTTCGAAAAGCAAAGACTACAGTTCATCAGTTCCAGTTAGGTACATTCCCAACAAATCTGCAAAAACTGAAAAATTGCAAGCTTCTTCTCCTGTGGATGGTTTGGAGGATAGAAAAGAGATTACTATGACGGACCTGAAAGTGTCAAGAGTTGAGTTTCCCAGTGGGGGGAAGAGTTTATGGAGGAATTCTAAGTCTCAATATCAAAATCAAAATCAAAATCAGATGCCTGTTAGCAACTTAACGTTCGACTTTAAATCAGGTATAAATGTGTTCAACAACTTCTAGTTGGTAGAAAAAAATTGCTTTTCTTTTTAGAATATTGGATGTCAATATCAATATGGGTTGCCTTCACTGTTATATCGTATCCCGGTTTTACTATTATTGATAATTCCACACACACACACACAATATATATATATATATATATATATATGTGTAGTTTGTCTAGTTGTCAGAGGCAGAAGAAGAAACCGATAATTCAACCAATTTGTTTATACTTTTTGTGGAATTTTCAGAGGTGGAAAAAGAAGTTAATCATGATTTGGAGGGTGGAGACTATGATTTCATGGAAGAGCCTGAGGAGATTGTAAAGGAGCTCGAGAGTTTTCAAGAAAAACATCATAATGCCGTGGTTGGAATTCAAGCTGGTAAAAGCAAACAAGATGTGGAGAAGATGGCTGTTGAACTACTTGCGACAAGGTTTGCCTCTTAATGTGATTTGCTCCTCTGAAACTTGGTTTTATGAAAGTTCTATTCATTAATTCTTATTAAAGTCATGACACTCTGCAGTAGTAGCTGGTTTTTTTTTTGCTTATTGATAGTGATGTGATACCTTGTGTATAAACTAGTTACACCCTAGGTGTAGTTGGTAAGTCATACAGATATAACGTTGTCCAGAGTGATAAATTTCACACGAATATTGCTTCGCATTATAAAGAATAGAAGAACTATTCCCCAAAAAATCATCATGCACTATAGAGTTTGCTAAGCATCACAATATTTTTTGAATATTTATTTTTATTTTATTTGTTTATTGCTCCTTTGCTTTCTTTTTTGGTGCTCTGCATATCGGCACAAGGACGTGCTATTATACACAAAATTTCCCAAATTAATCCGATGAGTTTTGACAATGTTCATTTTACACCCCATAAAAGGGACTTACGAATGGATTTTCTTTTTTCTGCATTGCTTATTCTAAACCTTATTTAATTTGATGCGTCGTCTGTAAAGTGACCTAATTCTGACAATGCTTTAGTATGTATTTTTTCGAAGATTATGTGATACAATTATACATGAAATCCAATGGTAAAATTTGGTGACCTTGACTCAAAATTCACCAATTGACTTTGAGATTTATTGCAGTATGATAGCTACATTGTCATCATTCTTGTATGCGGACTAAGCATCCAAAGACAGCAATTTTATTGTTCAGTTTGATTTCCTCCCAGAACTGTAGAAATGATAATTAAAGTTGTCATATATTCACAGTGGATATACCTACAGACACATCCATATGACTACAATCATTATGTGTGCATGTAAAATATTTGTTGTTCAGCAGAGCATTTACATCCGTGGAGCTGAGGAAGAAGCTGCTTAGAAAGAAGTTTCCACTTGATACTGTTGATGCAGTGATAGACGACTTCGAGAGCAGGTGCATACCTTAGCATACGAATTTTATCCTTTCAAGTTTTATTCAGCCACTTCTTTGAAAATGCACATTTGAAAAGTATTTACAAGATCTGTCATTATGAGTCTCAATTATATGTTTGGTGTTCATTTCTCATATTCCAATTGCCACATTGAAGAGCATTTTTCTCATCTTCCATCAAAAAACTGTTAACACTCTGTACTCATCCAAAATATTACACTAGTTGGCTCCATTTGAGTGTCTTGTGCAAGTTTTTGATACTTGAAGTTTCTTGTAGAGGTTTGATCAATGACTTCCTGTATGCGGAAACATTTTCTCGATCTAGATGGTCTTCTTCAAGTTGGGGACCAAGGCGAATCAAGCAGGTAAAACTGTCCTCTTCTCAAATTAGTCCTCCAGTTGGATTCTAAGGCAAGTAAGTAAGCATATAAAATGGAGAGAGCAGGTCACTAAGTTGATTGGTGAGATTTTGGAATATCACTGAAATATGCTAAAAATACCCAGAGAGTGAAATCTCTTTGCATCCTTTGTGAATATTGGTTTTGCTGTAGTATTCTTCTCTGTCATTGGACGCCATCCAGAAGTTTTCAAGTTGCAATCGATTGTTTGGCACCCAAAGGGAAGTATTCAGTAAAATGAGAAAATTGAAAAGAGAATCTTGATAACTTAAGTTGTACCTAGGTCTTAGTTATCTCTCTTTTTCATGGTTTGATATACAGAAAGGGAGCATGGAAGAATAAATCACTCGGATTAGCTTGAAAATAATCTTTTGTCTCTTCTTTTTCCAAAATATTTACTCCCTTTTTCTTGTCTAGGTCCTTTGCACTGAGAGGCATAGAAAATCTCGTTAGTTGGTTGCTTTGGTTAATGGTATGGCAGGGAATTGGGCTAACAACTTCTGATCTGGTAGTCACCAGTTTTATGGATAGCTTATTGTGCATATCTCCTTTTTGTTTTGGAAGTAAAGTTAAGAAGGAAAAAAAAATGGTGTATTGGTTTTCTTTGGTTTTTTATTCTAAAAGGCGACAATGTTTGCCACTGAGTAGGGCTTTTATTGTTTGGATTAGGCCCTGTTCAAGAAGGGAGTAAGTAGAGTGGATGCAGAGAAGGCAATAAAACTGGTCTTCGAGGATGGTGAAGCTGAAGATCAAGAGTCAAGACTTCGAATGTCAAAGCTTTCAATGGAACATTTATTCGTCCAGGCCCTAAAACAATGGCAAAGGGGTTGTGATGTGCCCAAAGAGACACGGAAATCGAGAATTATTCGGTGGCTTCAATACCGTGGCTTCGATTGGAGTATTATTGGCTTGGTATTAAAGAAGTTAGAGTCTGAGTATCCTCCCTAGAGCAAGTGAGCTCCTCATTCCTACGCAATATGAGAGATGGAATGGTGAGTCCTGGTTTAAATGATGGTGACTCCATATCCGTCACTTAGATTTTTAAAACTTGTAAATCTCTTCCTTGTGTGTAATATGGTTTAGGATATTAGTCCCCATGAGGACATTACAGTTTAGAAATTTATTTAGTTGGCCCTTCACTGTGCCAAAGTGCCTTTGTGATAGTCTAACTTTTTGTCATTCAGGTTCAATGAAATATACCTTATCAAGACAAATCAACAAGTGGCACTACTTGGGTGGTGCTGGTGGGATGAACCTGTTTTGCAGAAACTAAAGTGTCCTTGTATTCATCTCATAGCACATCCATATTTTGTGTCTATTTGCTCGTATTCATATAATAGTACGTCCATATACTTGTCCAGCCACTGATGTATAATTGAGCTAGAGGAAACACTATTTTGCACTCAATATCTAGTTGTAGCACGTGTGTATGCTTTTAGAGAGAGAGAGTGTGTGTGTGTGTGAGTATTTATTTCTTTTTGACTCATATATGTATGTTATGTGATATTCATCAACCTGCTGATATTCACCGAATGGTTGCTGCTGTTGAGTAATTCATATTACTGGACATAAAAACCTTTGTGTCCATAGACTGTATGCTTCATTCGGATATTATGAACATCATAGACATGACTTAGTTACCTTTCTTGTCCCACTGTCTTGGCATTTGTTGGAGGTATCTATTACTTCTTTTTACCAACTAGTTTTGTTTTCATTAAGGTCATCATCTGGATCTCAACGTCTTGCATGTGTGATAGTTTTGTGACAGGACATTTCTTCTGTTATGTGATATAATTATGTATTGTTTTTTTTGGGTCCTGATTACAGATGTTATCTGAAACCCCATTTGCAGGTACAAAGTCTTCCACACCAAGATTAGTGTGCTTTGTGGGTTTACCATTGCTGGAAAGTCTCACTCAGCCATCACATGTGCATGTGATTTGAGGAGCGTGGGACCATGTGGACACTGCTGGACATGGAGAGAGAGAGAGAGAGAGAGAGAGAGAGATTCCTTTCAATAAATTCTGATTAGGTAAATCCAAAAGCACAAATCATTGGTCCAGCTTCTACACAAGCTTACAATCACTCAACCCCCAAGACAAGACACAGACAACACCTGCATTGGTAGAGTCATCAAAAACCACCAATTTCAACCTTCGGTGGCTCAAAACTATTATTATGGCTACAGTTCCTTGTTAATGCATTAATTATTTTAATCTACAACAACCAGATTGACTGGAAAATACACTTTCTTACAGGATGGAAAGACGAGAAGTTACATCAAAATCGCTTCTGTAATCCCTCTGCCCTGCTCTAATGAATTCTCATGTGGAATATTCACAAATAAACACTATGCATAGTCTCTCCTTCAAACCTTAGCTAAACTGAATCATCAGAGAATTCAAAGGAACAGTTAGAGGATCCTTGTGAAACCACATTTCTAGTTGGTGGTGTTGGAGGAAGAGGTGTCAAACCCCCCTTCAACAAGTCGGGGTCCGACCTTGTTGGATCGACTTGTCGAATTTCTTTTAGCATAGCTACAACGTCCTTCATCATTGGACGATCATCGGGACGGGTGCTCACGCAGAGAAATGAAACAGCTAGTGTTTGCAGCATTTCATGCATCTGAGGATCAGCCCTCCCTCTTAGCTTTGGATCAAGAATGTCAGCTGGGTCACGCTTACCCTGTGAGTGTTGGCGAACCCACTGAACAAGATGTGCACCTCCTGGCAATGTCGGGTCCAATGGATGCCTTCCGGTCAGGACCTCCAAAAGTACGATGCCAAAGCTGTACACATCGCTTTTCTCAGTGATTCGTTGCATTGAAGCATGTTCTGTCAAAACATTATGAAAAATATGATTACTGCAATGAAATGAGTGAAATAATCAAAGTGGATATATGAGAGAGAGCGAGAGAGATTATTACCAGGAGCCATGTATCCATAAGAGCCAGCAAGATGAGGTCTCTGACTCTGCTTTGAATTCGAAGCATCATCACTGTTGCTATTGACAAGCCTTGCCAGCCCAAAGTCAGCAAGGAAAGGTTCCAATTGAGGACCCAACAAAACGTTCATGGCTTTCACATCGCCATGCATAATAGCAGGCACACAATCATGGTGCAAATACGCAAGCGCGTGTGCCACACCCATGACAACATCGTATCTAGCTTCCCNAATCCAAAAGCACAAATCATTGGTCCAGCTTCTACACAAGCTTACAATCACTCAACCCCCAAGACAAGACACAGACAACACCTGCATTGGTAGAGTCATCAAAAACCACCAATTTCAACCTTCGGTGGCTCAAAACTATTATTATGGCTACAGTTCCTTGTTAATGCATTAATTATTTTAATCTACAACAACCAGATTGACTGGAAAATACACTTTCTTACAGGATGGAAAGACGAGAAGTTACATCAAAATCGCTTCTGTAATCCCTCTGCCCTGCTCTAATGAATTCTCATGTGGAATATTCACAAATAAACACTATGCATAGTCTCTCCTTCAAACCTTAGCTAAACTGAATCATCAGAGAATTCAAAGGAACAGTTAGAGGATCCTTGTGAAACCACATTTCTAGTTGGTGGTGTTGGAGGAAGAGGTGTCAAACCCCCCTTCAACAAGTCGGGGTCCGACCTTGTTGGATCGACTTGTCGAATTTCTTTTAGCATAGCTACAACGTCCTTCATCATTGGACGATCATCGGGACGGGTGCTCACGCAGAGAAATGAAACAGCTAGTGTTTGCAGCATTTCATGCATCTGAGGATCAGCCCTCCCTCTTAGCTTTGGATCAAGAATGTCAGCTGGGTCACGCTTACCCTGTGAGTGTTGGCGAACCCACTGAACAAGATGTGCACCTCCTGGCAATGTCGGGTCCAATGGATGCCTTCCGGTCAGGACCTCCAAAAGTACGATGCCAAAGCTGTACACATCGCTTTTCTCAGTGATTCGTTGCATTGAAGCATGTTCTGTCAAAACATTATGAAAAATATGATTACTGCAATGAAATGAGTGAAATAATCAAAGTGGATATATGAGAGAGAGCGAGAGAGATTATTACCAGGAGCCATGTATCCATAAGAGCCAGCAAGATGAGGTCTCTGACTCTGCTTTGAATTCGAAGCATCATCACTGTTGCTATTGACAAGCCTTGCCAGCCCAAAGTCAGCAAGGAAAGGTTCCAATTGAGGACCCAACAAAACGTTCATGGCTTTCACATCGCCATGCATAATAGCAGGCACACAATCATGGTGCAAATACGCAAGCGCGTGTGCCACACCCATGACAACATCGTATCTAGCTTCCCATTCTGCCCCTCCCTTCCCGGCCCCATGGAGGACTGAACTCAAGCTACCATTGGGAAGATAATCGTAGAAAAGCAGTTTCAGGGTCTGGTTCGAACCCCACCCCAAAAGTCGCACAATATTTTTGTGTCGGATTGAACCCAGTGTCTGAATTTCTGATCTGAATGCTCCTGATTCTTCTGATGACCACATTTTCTTTACTGCAAGTGTTTCTCCATTTGGAATTGTCACCTTGTATACGACTCCTGAGCTTCCGGTGCCAATCACGTTGGCTGATGTTAGATTGCGGACTATGTCATCAATGGAGAGTTGTGTCTTCTGATAAAATGTCATTTTCCAAGTGTCACCTTCCATGGACCCATGATTAGCCATCCTGGTCCTAACCAACATGTAAATGGCCAGAAGAACTAGTACTGCACTGGCACTAAGGAGGATTGACATTGTTAGCTTCAACATTGATTTGGCACGAACCGAAGGCCCCATGCTGTCAGCCGGAGTTACAACCCCACTGGAGATGTATAGAGCTCGGTTTCCGGTAAGGTCATCAAGAGGGAGCTTACGAAAGAATGGAGTATTAGGCAGTTGACCAGAAAAGTCATTGTAGGACACATTGAGGGAGACAAGATTTTGAAGCCTAGCAAGTATTTCTAATTTCCCAGTAAGCATATTGTGGGAGAGGTCAAGGATTCCTAGTTTAGTGAGAGCCGAAAACTCAGTTGGGATCTCACCACTAAATTGGTTACAACTAAGGTTGAGAGAGATTTCGAGTGATGGAATTTGAGCCAATTCTTTTGGTATATTGCCCAAGAAACCATTGTTTCCGAGATCTAGCAATTGCAGCTTATTGCATGATAAGATCTCTGCTGGAATTCTCCCAGAAAGTTGATTCTTTCCGAGATTAAGTTTGGTTAATTCTGTTAGTGAACCAACACTAGGAGACAGTGGACCTGTAAGCCTATTATCTGAAATATCCACGAACTGTAGACTTATGGGCATTGTATCTGGCACAGAACCAGTGAGTCCATTTGAATGGAGGTCGAGGAACTCGAGGTTTATGCATCCAGAAATCGAGGGAGGAATTCCTCCCACGAAACTGTTGTTGCTCATGTCAAGGAAATTCAGACTCTTTAAATTTCCAATCTCCAATGGAATAGTACCCGCCAACCTATTATCATTCACTCGGAACCTGTACAAATTTGTACAGTTCCCAACATTTGACGGTACAAAGCCAGACAAATCATTGGAAAGAAGCAGCAGTTTAGTTAGATTTTGCAGTGCAAAAATCTGTTTTGGTATTGAACCAAACAGATTGTTGTAAGAAAGATCAAGGGCCTGAAGATTCTCACACTCGGATAAAGATTCTGGAATATTGCCTGTTAGCTTATTCTGCCAGGCAAAGAATATTGTCAAGGCCTTTAATTTGCCTATTAGAACAGGAATCGCTCCAGAAATTTCATTGTTGTCGACTTCCAAATGAGTCAGAGCTGTGCAATTTGAGATTTCAGAAGGTATTGTACCTGATAACTGATTGACACTCAGCTGAAGCTCTTGAAGCCCCAAAAGGCCTCCAAAACTTGTTGGTATGTTTCCTGTTAGCAGATTCTCTGATAAATCCACAACTGTGAGCTCTTTGCAGCTTCCAAGCTCAAAAGGAATGGTGCCAACTATGGTGTTCTGCCATAACAACAGAGTCTGAAGCTTTTTCAGCTCCCCTACATGTGTTGGGATTGGACCAGAGATCGAATTCTGATACAAATAGATGTTCTGCAACTCACTGCAATTCCCAATCTCTTCTGGGATGGAACCTGATAATAAAGCTGTATAAATGGCTATGGTTTGAATCCTTTTCAGATTTCCGATTGATAAGGGAAGACTTCCAGAAATGCAGGTTTCGGCGAGGCCTAAAATGATCAAGTTGGTGCAGTTTCCAATCTCCCAAGGCAGCTCACCACCAAGATTCTGATTCCCACCAGCTCTGAAGATTTCAAGATTGCTCAAGTTTCCTATACTCTTCGGAATTACACCATTGAGTTGATTGTCGAAGAGCGTAAGATAAACAAGACTCGAGAGATTTCCAATGTCTGATGGGATGTCTCCTTCAAGAGAATTTGTATTGAGGGATAAATTTTGAAGCTTACTCAGCCTGCAAATTTCTGCCGGGATTTCACCTGAAATGAAATTATCGCTGATATCGATATGATTCAGCTCCAAATACTCTCCAAACTCTATCGGAATTGTACCAGTGAGATTGGTTGATGAGAGGATGAGAGTATTCAAGGACTTGAGCGGTTGAAAATTTGAAGGCAATAATAGGCCTTGCAAATCTATCGATTTCAAGTTTACCTTTACCACTTCTCCTTTTGAGTTGCACTGTATCCCAAACCAGTTGCAAGGACTTTGGTCTGAAGAATTCCATGATTGGAGTGCATTTGGTGAGCTGTTTAAGGTGTTCTTCCATGCCAGAAGAGCTTGGCCCTGCACATCAATGGAGTCAGAAGAAGAGAAGAAAAGAGAGATTAAGGAGAAAAGTAAGGTGAATGTCAAGATATTGGGAGGAAGTAAGGGATTTCTTAGGGGTGCAGGCATTGCTGAGAGCAAAGAGCAGGTGAGCAGTTTTTTGGGATTGTAGAGGGGGGAACCCCATGTTTTGTTTATAGAGGAAAAGCAGAAGATCTGGATCCAAGAGCACTTTCATTATTCTAGTAATATTATATCTGTAATTGTTGTTAAGTGAGACATGGTGATGCAGATGGGTTTTTTTTTTTTTTTTTGTTTAATTGATGCATAGAGTTTTTTCGACAATTTCTTTGTTTCTGCTGTCAATAAATGTGCAGGTTGTTTTTGGATTTTTCTTTTTGGATAAAGCTCCATGGTTTTAACTTTTTTTTTTCTTTTGGGCAACAACAATCGTCCCAAACCACTTTGTTTTTTTTTTTCTTCAATTCATGGTCACAACACAAACTTCGGATGACCCAAAATCACCTGTAGAAAATCACATGCATGAATTAAACCTAGGTTTTATTCGACCAGTGAGACTCAAAACACAAAATGCGCAGGATTACATCTCGCGTCTTGTTCAACCACCGTGTCGATTGATGTTTGTAACTTTGTAAAACCGTTGGGTAGTTTTCAATGGAGATAGCTGTCAGAAACAAAGATGGTGGTGCAGAATGGCCAGCAAAGGCATTAAATTTTTACTGATTTTCTTTTTTCATGCATACTTGAAGAATTTGTTCAATCTTGTTTCTCCATTTTGGGTCACCTGTTTTGAATAATCCCCACATGTTCTATTTACTGCAGTTGAAAATCAGATTATGATTTACTTGATGCTTATGTATGAATTGATTTGGTGAAGTATCGCTGGCACTGGTGCATTATCATTATTGCTTTCTTATTACTTAAAGAATGCTGGGGCGTTCCATCCCAACATATAGGACAGTGTTCTTTGTTCTGCATTAGTTGATTAAGCCCAGAGATGATGGACCCTACACTTTTTTTTTGTGGTCACAAGCTTAGGCAGCCACATGTTAGTTTTATGTAAAATTTCGAGCTTTTTACTAAATTTAGTCGATTTAGCAAAATAATTTCAGAATTCATAAAATTTTAAAATAATTTCCTAAACTCAGCAGTTAAAAATGTGTCTGACGTCACGTCAGACTTCCTTTCTTCTCTAATTTTTTCCAAATCTGTAAATCTTAATCAGGGTCCACCACCCTAGCAAAGAAGCCATCCACCGTCGCAGTCTTTCCTATGGCAGCTACAAATTGGTACTCTAGCTTAATCCCCAATCGTTGCAGTCTATCTTTCATCGTGGTCTCTCTTCCACCCAAAAAAGTCAAACTGACGTTTTAAAAAATGTTTGCGTTTGAGAATTATTTTGCCAAACTAGCTTGATTTGGTAAAAAAAACCTTGGAACTGAAATTTTCCATCTCTTTTTTTTTTCCTCCTTAATGTAGTGAGAACTTGTTTGGTTAATAAAGGAAGAGAAAATAACAATAGGCTCTGTCTGTCTGTCAAAACAGGTTGGGAAAGCTCCAATGAGCTTCGTTTAAGAACAAAATGAAAGAAAAAAAAAAAGGGGGCTTGTTTACTCAACTTTCGAATATTTAACCTGGCATTTAGGGATCTGAATTAGTTGTTAATGGATGAATAATGGGTATTTTATGCTAATATTTAATCAGAGTGATAGAGATCTAAATGGGTTTTTTTATAAGTAGACAGTGTTTGGAATCTGGTGGAGTAGTGAAGTGCACATGGAAAAGAAGAATTAAGCAGAGATTGTTATAATAATCTTCATGCTTTGTCATGCTGTCGGGCGGCCTTGCTGTAAATGATTTGAATAAAACAAAGAAATTAACATTAGTCTCGAGGAATTAGTCGACAACATTGTTTTTTTAATTACGTTTTTAGTAACAAATCACCATCAAATGATTTGCACGAAACAAACAAATTTTGTCTATGAAAGAAGATAGATCAATTCTCGAGCGATAGCAGTTGGCATTATGAGGTTACAGATTCAAATCTCAATAAAAAGTAGATGGTGGAAATAAGAAATTATGAATGAAACTTCCTACCAAGGATAAGACTCGTATACAAAGTAGTTGGGTGTAGTGAAAAACATGAATGACTTCTAATTAGTTGATCAATATACGATCAAGATCTTCGATTAATGGTACCCATGTTCTTCATTTGTGCATGGATGAAAATCTTTCTACCTTCACTCCACTTCAATTTTTCTGATATAAAGTAGGGTACAATTTGGCGGATGTGGTTGATGGATTCTTGACATGCCATGTCCAAGTACCCTCATAACATAAATACCGTTTGGAAGAAAAGCTATACGAGCAAAATCCAGAGAAATAAGAGACAAACGACAACATTAAAAGAAGAGAAAGAGACAGCAACCAAAAAAAAAAAAGAAAAGTAGGAGAGAAAAACTTATGTGATGCCAAATGGTCTCTCCACCACTCTCACTTTCTATTTTTTGCCCTTATTTTCTGGTGAAAGTTGGCTTTGTAAAGCTTCCCCTGTTTCAATGTAAAAGCTACATTTGTTACATAGCAAATTTGCAGTACTCTTTCAGAGAAATGTCATTCTTGACCTGTCAGTAATGGTTATCATATTTATTGACCAAACGAAAAAAACCCACTACTAGCATTTACACTTTTTTTTCTTTTTAAATATAACAATTAGGGTGTTTACTTTAGTTTATAGGAAATTAATCTCTTTTTCGGTTCAGTCAAAAGTAGGTCATCCACGCTGATACTAGAGTATTCACGAATGATAAATCTCTCACGGCCTGTCTCAAGAGATTATCAAAATTCAAACTCAAAACGTCTGAATTTACAGTTCATCTTTATTACCATTTGAACAATACTCAGGATTACCACTAGCATTAATACCACCTATGGCAGTCACTTGCTTTTGGTTTCTATAAATTTATGTTCCCTAAAGGTTTTTCTTAAATCTTGGCAAGTTTAGTAGTGTTAGTATTAATTTCAGATTCCCTTCCTTTAATTGGGTTCGATTATGCACAACTTCCCTATACTTTCAAATTCTACACATAACCTGCTGGGGTTTTGGATCAAACCAAGAGATTTTCAATAACAATCAATTGCAATTTTTCAAGAGGGAAAAATTCAGTTCACTTGTTTTTTTAAACTTATTATTGCAACACAAACATTGGATCCATGCAATCACTAGTTAAGTACGTGCATTAGTTAGAACTAAGATTTTGTATGCCCAAAAGACTCTTTCAATTCAAGATGTGCATGTTTACCTCCCGCCACTTGTTCAACCACGGAATTTACCTTGCGGGTTAGTTATTCGCATAATTGCTAGTGTATTTTTACAATTTGTACAAATTGTGAACTGAATCCAAGCCATATGGTGGTGTTGGACTGCACACAGATCTCAGCACATGTACTGATTCTATCATATGAAAACCTTGTGGTCTTAGCTTCACACATGATCAGTAAGAATTCCAAATTCCATCACCATCAGGGTTTGAAAGAAGAAAGCACATGACCACACTCCATTATTGGGTTTTGCTCAAGGTTATTGGCTAATCCCTATTGTAGATTAGAAATTGAAAAGTGGGTGATATAAATACACACACAACCACATATATATATATATATATAGGCTTTTATGAAGAGTAGAGAGGCCTGTGCTTCAACTTATAGATTAAGAGCAAAAGTACTTGCAGGAACGTGCCATGTTACACCCCTCCATTTTGGTGCAAAATTTTATTGGGTTTTTGTCAGTTCTGGTTTTTGCCATGAGAGATGCACATGACATGAGAGAGAGAGAGAGAGAGAGAGAGAGAGAGAGATGACTTTATTAGTTAATGTATGAAGCTAGTTGAATTATTGGATTGGTGAGTGTAGTAGGAGCTGTTTGTAAGATGTAGAAAAAGTAAACTACATGATAGCAGAAGGAGGGCTTCTTTATACAAAAACATTAATTTATCAAAAAGGCATTGCAGAGTGAGAACAACTTTACATCTCATGGTTCCATGCATTCAACAACTCACTCAAATTTGACCCACTCGTGTGTATGTGTGAGAGAGACTTGAGGATTAGAGAAAAAGGGAGAGGGGGGGGGAGGGGGAAGAAAAGAAATTAATCCTCCCATTTTTGAATTCTCTCACTTTTGATTAATTTCAATCATCTATTGCAAAATAATCAAGTCTCACTCATTAGACCACAACATATTATTGAAGTTGAATCCATTTTAACGAAAAATCGAAATAGAAAAGATCTAAAACGAAATTAATGTGTACACATGATTTTTTTTTTTTTCTAATTTTTTTAGTCTAACGCACTTCCTAAGCGGATTATGAAGCCCGACAAAAGATCCAAAACATTATTAGCTTTACATAAAGGAGGAGAAAAATATTTAATAAGCGCAAATAGATCATTTATATGAACTGAGTCGGCCAAGTTTGACCATTTTTTCATGAATTGCCAACTAATGACAATTTTTTGGTCATTAATTGCCACCATATTTCTCCATATTTTTCAAATTTAGTGGGATGAATTCGCGTGAAATGGAAGGAAAAAAAAAAAAAAAAACCTATAGACTAAAGTTGGAAAATGCTTGGACACTATTTGACAAACAAGAAAAGAAGAAAAAGCTTTAACAAATCCTAGATGTTATCAACCTACCAGGATTAAGGTTTGTGATGTGAAGTAGAAAGCCAGAATTAAAACGACAAAGTATCACAAAAATCATCTGTCTTTTCAACTCTATCACCATTCGCCAAAGCATATCCCTTGTCCTGCTTGTGCAATGTGCATAACCAATATCTCATGTTTTGTTTTTTTGTTGTTCATAATCAGGGATGTTTGGATCATTTTATGCATATTTTAATTAATTTATAATTTAACTTCAAATAATTGTCAAAATTCAAATTAATGACGTCTGAATTTATAACTCGTCTCTATATACATTACCTTCATAAACTATCATCCAGATCTATTTGAGTGTGACCTCGGCACAATAATTTACTCAATTTGACATTTTTGTACATGTTATTTATTATTGTGGTCTTGCAACACTTTTTTTCTTGTGATTAGAAATTATCTCAATCACATAATCATCCAAAAACTTATGCATCGTTTGAACTCGAGATTTTTATGATCAAAAAGATTCAAATTAAAATGTATGAATTTACGAGTCATTCCTTAATCAATCAATGAATCAACTCCGTGTGGGGTTCTTCGCTTTTGTTGTTTGCATTGTTTTTTCCATCAAGAAATGGGACGGCCATTTGCTTTTGACCACTTTGCCTAGTAAAGAAAACAAGGTTTTGTCCAGTCTAATTTCCATTTGAAAGTTCAAATCATTGTACCCTACTCACATTGTTGCTGTCCTAATCTTTCCTTGATTCCGGGTTTTTCATCCCAAACACGTCTTTATCAGATTATTAAAAGAGAGATAATGGTTGTGGAGTGGGAAGAAGCTCTTGGGCTTTAGCTTATTAAACTCGTAACCTTACCTAAAGCATATTCAAATCCCAATGGTCAAAAAATTTGTGTGCCACACCTCTTTGTTAAGAAAGCAACACAAGCAATAGCCCAAAAAAAAAAAGAAGAAGAAGAAGAAGAAGAAAGCAACACAAATAAAACTTTTGTACTTTAGCTTTTTGGACCTGACTACGGTTCTGAAAAAAAAAATTTGGTATTATATTTCTAAAATTTATTATTTTAATGAATTTTTTTGTAATTTTTATAGATCATTTTATAACTAAAAAATTTATTATTTTTTTGGGTGATTTATCACTATCATGATAACTATTTTTATTATTTTTTATACAAAAAAATTATTACTTTTATTGATAATTTATTATATTTATGAATATTTTTATCACTGCTATAATTATTATTATTATTATTTTTTTGATACCGAAGACAAATCCTAGCCTTTGGCATCTTTATACTTGTCCTTTTGGGTCTGGGTCAAGTCAGTTGCTTATGAGCAATGAGATGGTTGGAGCTGATGGGACCAGGGCCAATGGTGCCAAAATGTGATCATTTGTTCCCTAAAGCAATGCCTTCGTCACACTCAAACCCACCCACACC